ATCTCCTCCCTGTTTCCCTTTCTCCCAACTTTGCCAAACAAACAACGAGACATCATCCACTAGTATAATCCCCTTTACCATCCCAACATCGTTCCCCAAGTTTTCCAGAAATAGACATTCATAATATGCACAGAGAATGCATGCGATGGGAGGGTTACTCGACTTCCCCTGCCTAACCAAACGATCGGAGGCCCACAGGAAGGTATTACTAAGATCAAACTCCATCATCGCCCTGATCGACTCAAACTCTACCTTCACCCACCCTTCTTTTTCCCTCTTCTTCCCAAAGGATGCACCCTTCCCCCTCAATCTAACCATCACAGACTTCTTCCCTTTCAACGAGAATACCTTCAACACCCATTCGATTGCCTTTTTTACGGATTCATGGGGAAGCTTACTAAACATTTCTTTAATGCCGTAAGATATTCCCATTAGTTCGCCGTTCTTCTTCTTGGAGGCCCATTTGTTAACTTTGTCGATCCTCGACTTTAACAGACTTGTTGACTTCAGGTTGAAGTGACTGTTTTTTGCAAATTTTTGGCAGTGAGAACAATAGGAAATTGAGGGTTTTCGCCACCCTCTGGTTCGTCATCTTCGCTGGTTCGAAAAAGGAAGGAGAGATCGTGCGAAATTTTTGTGTGTCCTTATGCTTCGGGAGAACATAGGTTTTTCCCCACGATCCTTTGTTATCCCATTTCCCGATCGATTTCAGCCCTCTCGCTTTGTACTCCTTCTTCGCTCGTACCATGACTTCTTCTTTTTTTCGCCATACAGCTTCAAAGGCGTCGTTGCCCCAAAACATCACTCTCATTCCCTCCTCGTAGTGGACAGACTACCAGGGTCTCTGCGGGATTCTTGTCCAACGAACAAAACACCATTCCCTTTCACTTCTCCTTCACATCTTCGATCGCATCTATCAACCCATCTCCTATTCCTCTCTCCTTCCAGATACATGCTTTCGCCTGGTGAGGTGTCCACGTGGGTTCCAGGCCTAACTTTATCATCTTGTCATTTAGTTCCCTGCAGAGTCTAACGTCGTCCCTTCCGCTGTCAATACCCTGAATCACATTCTTCGTGTTACACATCCTCATGTCCACGTCATTCCTACTGCTTAAACGGAAAGCTACGTGTTCCCCCTGACGTGGGAGATCAAAATCTGCACAGAAGCAGATATTAGCCAGAAGACGACTGAATCGTCTATGGTTATGGAGAAGTCCTCCGACGGTCTGGTTTTTCCTTCAGATAAGTCAGATCTTCTGACACCGTAGCTTCACTTCGGCAGCAGACTGACATTGTGACCCTATCTTCTCAATAGTTCGCATCCTAATCTTTGCTCATGATATACGTTCATCGTACGTGATCCCGATTACCACCTTTCTTCTCAGACTAACTCCAAACTTCCTCCTCACCACCCCATTTATCATCTCCTTGAGAGTCTTCCTTGTGCTCTTTCTCGAGAAGCTTCTCACTTCCATGAATAGGTGCACGGGCTGGTCCAGTTGGAGATATTCGAGTTTCTTCAATGACCAGGGGCATTTGAGCAGCTGATGCAACTACTTTTTCAGCTTCAGGTTACCTGGCTGCCTTTCCCGTATTCGAACGAAATTCACCTCACCGCCTTCCTCAATTAGGCTGTTAGCGACTTTCGGTTTAATCTTCTTTGCTCCAATCAATAAGGCCGAATCTCTAAATGCCCTTTTGACAATTCCCCAATCTTCTACCCAGATTTTCCCCCCACTCGAGGTCACCTTCCTTTCTCTATTTCCTTTAACCGACCGAATTACTTCACTCAACTTCCCCGTACTCTGAACACCGCTACACAGGAAGCGTAGTATCTTTTCATCATCAAAGTGTACTCTCCTTTCCTTCTTTCTCTCACGCCTTCACTTTCTTTTCTTCTTCTTTCGATTCCTACCATCTTTCCAACCATTCATGTTCAAAACCGGACACCAGCGCCTAATCAGTCTTTGCTCCAATCACTCTAGCTCGGATTTTTCGGCTATTGCCACTGGGACCGCTACGTACGACTCCCATCCCTATTTTCTTAACCACAGATACAGTCTATTCTTCCGAATAATGTTGTTAGACTTTGCCCTTCCGACATGCTTCAACCAGCTATCGATTAGTCTTCTCTTGGTCTTTCCTACATAAGCGAGCTTACACCAAGGATTCAACAAAAAATACACACAAGAGTCCGGTTCATCCCACTTCCCTCGCAATCTCTCAAAACTTCTCACATACATTCCACATACTTCCTTCCCCAACTAATCTTATTCTCCAACACCAACAGTAGGACAACGTTCCTTAGAATCCTCTCGACTAACGGTATTAGCCTTTTAGCTCCGCGATTCTGTTTACACCATTTCCTATTTTCCAAAAAATCGAGGAGGATCTCCCACCCTTCTGCTTTACTTGTCTGGTTCTCCTTGAGGGTCTTGGACTTCGCCCCTTATCTGCTCTTCCTCTCCTTGTTTGTTTGACGTCGAGCCCAACGACTTCTTCTCTCTGTAGCAGTATGTAACCCTTAACTCTGACAGTGTATCCACAGCATCGTTAACACCGTAGAACGGAAGGCCCACTCCTTTGCACATCGCTTTCAGTGTCTCGGGATAGAAAGAGGCTATAGTTTTTCTTACCGCCTTTCTATATCCTGCCTCGGGTGCGCAAACTTCTCTCCCATGGGAACTCCCTCTCATGGGTCGTCCCCTTTCGCTAGCCGGGCTGCTTGCGAATCGGCTTTTGTAGGTCTCCCCCTCCCTTTCCGCTTCTTGCTAGCTGGTGTCACGCCTCCTTCTTCTTCCCCATCTTCTTTGGGGTTTCTAACATGTGGACTGTTTTCAACGGCTCCTGTAGAGTCGTGGCGCTTTCTCTTATCCTTCAAGGGAGTGGCGTCCTCCTCGTCTTCTCCGCCTTCATCTGAGTTCGACGATGACGTTTCATTCACTTTACCTTTCTTCCTTGTTTCTATCGACACCCCTTTCATTTTACGGCTTAGACCCACAATCTTCTCCAGCTTCTCCTCATACTGCTCGCGCTGCTCCGCCAACAGTTTCTTCAACTCCCACTTTCGTTTCTTTTCCTTTCCTCCTTCGCTAGTTTTTTTGCCATAGCGATTCTTGCCTCTTCCTCCTTTGCGGCTTTCTCTTCTTCTTATTTCTTCAGTTTCAGCTCTACTTCGCGCTTGGCCTCCTCAGTTTCTTTCTGCTGGTCTAGGAGTTGCTTGGCCATCCTTCCCACGGAACTCGGAGAGTCTTCCAGCTCTTGACTTACGGTAAATGTACCTCCACTTCCTCCGAACCTCCCTTGCAATCGAGGGCACTGGCTCTTATAATGACCAAACTCCCCACATTCGTAGCATTTAACCTGTCTAACTCCTTCAATCCTCCTTCCAAAGTCTTCGACCGACGACCCACGCCTATCATCGCGTCTTCTCTCTCGTCCCTCCCTCGGTCGCGCCAATCGTCCCCACTTTCCCATCCTCCACTCTCATACCCTCTGAACCTTTCATGCCTACCCCAAGACTCACTTCTCCTGCTTCCCATCTCTGCTTCCTAATCTTCAATCACGCCGCTCTCTTTGTTACACGCTTCCTCTCAAACCAAATTCCTTCTCGTAGTAGCTCTGTCGCTACCCCTTCTTCAGTCTTCCTTAGCCGCCGAATCGGACTTCTTCACTGCTGCATCTGACTTCTTCACCAGTCTCCGCTTACTTCTCTCATAGTGATAGGTAACACGTTCTCGCTACCACCAAATTCCAAGTGGCATCCCTTGGCAGGTTGTAGCGCTCAATCACAGGTAAATGAGTTTGGTGTACTGTTTACTCGATGGTAAACCCACAGCGAGATAGTTCAAACCATTGAACACAAAAAACTTGACAACTTAGTCGTAAAACGTCAACAGTGCTTTGAAAATGCCGAAACCGAAACAGAAGAACAGTAAAGCTCGGTGGTAGTGGCATCCAGAGCACGCCCACGTGAGGCTACGTCTACGTTTCGAAAAAGAGATCTCATCCATTCTCTGAACTACTATTAATACTACCCAACAGGTACCTTATTTCCTACGGACATCACCTCAACCTTACAGGGCTCAGAAACGAACCCAACCCCAACAAAAGGAAATACAACTGACCAAAATCCAACAACTACCTTATTTCCTACGGGCGTCACCTTGACCTTACCGGGCCCAAAAAAGAACTCAACCCCGACAAAAGAAAAACAACTGACTAGAATCTCCTGCCTATCGCCCATGTACCGAGTTCGAGCCCATGGGCTTAATGTCAAAAGTTACCCTTCTTGCAATCTGCGTCCAGTCAGGTGCACTCAGCCTGACAAAGCGCCAAAGCGTGCGTTCAAAGAGGTCGTCCGGAAATGAACTAGCATTTCGTTAAAATTGACATTTTTTACTATTTTCACGAAATTGGGCATCCAAGAAAAAACTGAGTTTTTCAGTGTGTTTTTGTGCCCACGACATCGGACCATTGATGGTCCGGCGTCCTGGGGACTCCGGACCATCTGATGTATCTCAATGTAAAGTACCGTCGAAATACATCCGAGGGTCAAAAAAAAAAGAAAAAAAATTGAGGCATATCAGATGGTCCGGCATCCTAGGGACGCCGGACCATCAATGGTCTGATGTGGTTGGCGCAAGAAAATGCTAAAAAATACTGTGCTTTTTTGGAAGATCAATTTCGTGAAAATAGTAAAACATGTCAATTTTAACGAAATGCCTGTTAATGATTGTTTTCTCAGCTCGCGATTCAGCGATAGCAGTCCTTATTTTTTGTTTTTGAATTTGACTTCATTTAGGATTTATAAAAAATAAAAAACAAAAATCGAAAAAAATAAAAATAAATAAAAGAAAAGCAGGAATTTTTTTTTTCATTTTTTTCGTGACTGATATGGAGTCAGAGTCCTCCTAAATAAATTTCCAAGGTAATTGTTTTTTTTTTTTTTTTTNTGAGAGGAGGAGAGAATGAATGAACCTGCCGACGTCCCAATATAGACAACGAAGACAAAGGAGGGGCCGATCTCAGCCGGCATGGGGGGGCAAATGAAGAAGAAGAAGAAGAAGGAGAAGAAGAAGAAGAGGAAGAAGAGGACAAAGAAACGGATGAAGAAGAAGAAGAAGAAGAAGAAGAAGAAGAAGAAGAAGAAGAAGAAGAAGAAGAGGAGGAGGAGGAGGAGGAGGAGGAAGAAGAAGAAGAAGAAGAAGAAGAAGAAGAAGAAGAAGAAGAAGAAGAAGGAGGAGGAGGACGCTGGCAAAGAGGAAGGAGATGGAGAGGGGGGGGGAGAGGGAGAGGAAGGCGGAGAGGAAGTGGAAGGGGAAGGAGAAGGAGGAGAAGGGGGAGGGGGAGAAGAAGGGGGAAGTGGAGAGTAAGAGGGGGAAGACAAAGGAGGGAAAAATGGATAAGAAGGGGGAGGGGGAGGCAGACGAGGATGAGAAGATGGAAAAGAGGAAGGGGAAGGAGGAGAGGGAGAGGGAGAAGGAGAAGTGACGGAAAGGGGAGGAGAAGGTGGAAGAGGATGATGCACGGACCAGCGAAGCCTACGTCGAAACCATTGTGTAAGACGAGTTACATTGGAAGAGGTTGTCAACATTGGCAAGCACGAATGACAAGTCCATCCTCGGGCCATTGTCGAAGGAGCATGGCCACAGGAAAGCAAACGGCGGACAAGCATGTTTGCCGCAGTTCTGAAATCATGCCAATTGTCACAAATCTGCTCAAACCATATAAGCTGGCCGGTGAACACACCTTTAGTGTATACACATTTGTATGAGCAGGTAAAAGCACTATCATTGTCTCCCACTACGTGGATTGTGTCAAATGTTATTTTAGAACTTTGGAAGGCCGGAAGATATTGCATGAAGTAACCTGCCTTACAGAAAAGAACCTCGCCTCGACTTGATGCTGGTAATGGATTGGCACGAGGGAGCCGACGCAGCCGTCAAGTTTAGGGAGAAAGCGGTGAAACTCAAAGACGACAGTGGAAAATTGAAATTTGAAACCAATTAAGTTATTCCATAAATCAGGTTCAGATTTTGCACCATCTTTTTTGTTGTGTCAGTCTGCCCACTTTTCAAAACATGGTCACGGAAAACATTGGCACAGGAAAAAACAAAAACAAAAAAAATCGGTGGCAATAAAGAATGTCGGCGATGGATCTACACCTCTGCCACCTATTGACAAAACTCATTGAGGAATGCAAGGACCTGCAAACTGAACCTACCGTTAAAACTGAAATAACTATTAAGCACGCAATTGAGATCAGACCCGGTAGTAAAATTCTTAAGGGACTGATCTGCAAGATGTCTCTGCGAGAATCAAAAAAAACTCAAGAAACAATTGCAGCAGCTTATCAGGAAAGGATGGATTAGACCTAGTTCTTCTCCTTATAACCCTCCTGCCCTCTTTGTGCCTAGGAAGGAAGGTAAGCTTAGACTTTGCATTCTTATAGAGGACTGAGTGCCATTACTGTCAAAAATGCAAAACCATTACCCCATATCCATGATCTATTAGACCAACTGCATGGTTGCAACTTGCAAGTACTAATCGGAGATTGATCTCAAGTCTGGCTACCATCAAATTGAGATGGCCCCCGAGGACCAACACAAAATGGCGTTTCAAACAAGATACGGGCATTACTATGAATTTGTGGGTTCCGGTCTCACAAACGCCTCCCCAACCTTCCAACGGTCTAGAATGAACTCTTTCGCAAATGGCTGGATCAATGCGTAGTTATCTACCTACATGATATTGTGGTTTACAGCAAGACATTGGAAGACCATGAAAAGCATTTATGTTTGGTCCTGCAAAAACTACGAGAAGCAGAGTTGCACAGCCGCCGGACCGCCAACACCGCCCATCGATCGTTTTGCAGTCCACCAGTACAACCAATTGGTTGGCAGTCTGCCAACCAGTCTGTAGAGTGCCAGCCATTGATTTTTTTTCAAATCTACAGCTTGCTACTTACAGACTTACATCTGCTGAGATTTCGAGATTCGGGGGGGGGGGTGTTCAGGTGGTGAGAGGGCAGTGTAGGAGGGAGATGGGGGGTTATAGGGGGTTATGGGGGGTGTATAAGGGTGTTGGGGACAGGTATGGTATGGGGGTATTGGTGGGGTTATTGAGGGTTATGGACCCCACATTTATTTATTTATTTACTATTTACTATTTAGTACTTATTTATTTATTTTAATTATTTAATTATTTAATTATTTATTTACTTATGCACGGTGCAGACTATTTATTTGTTTATTTATTATTTATTCTTGTGGGGTGCCGACCAACCAGTAGTTGCCCACGGGTGGAACCGTTGCCTGGTCGGCAACCAACCAATCAAGGGGGGCTGACCATCAGCCTGACTATTCCAGAGAAAGGGTATTTCTTAAGATTAGTCGAAGATAGAGTTTGCTAAGTCCAAAATACTATATTTAGGACACATAATGAAACAAGAAGAACTAAGGCCAACCGCAAGGAGAATGGTTACAATTAGGGACAGGCCTAGGCCAAAGATCACCTAAAATGCGCTCCTTCCTAGGATTCGCTAGCTATTATAGGATGTTCGTCAGGAACTCTATTATAGCTGCACCTATAAGGGAAGCTGCTACAAATAGAGACTATTTGGTTATGGGATCGCATTGTGATTTATCATTTATCATTTAACCAGTCGAGTTTATGTCCGCGCGCCTACCCTCTGAGAAGTGGCCCCATACATACGAGAGAGAATTGTGTGTGTGCGTGTGTGTGTGTGTGTGTGTGTGTGTTACATGCCCAGTTGGGCGATGTACATAGAAACCGAGGATCCGCAATGTGATAAAAAGGACTGAATGGACAATGCAGTGCAAGTAGAATCTCAACAAGCAATGTGCATTCGAATACATACAAAATGGTGCTGAATAGCGCAGGGAAGACTTAGATACAAAGTCTGACCTGACCGGGACTGACCTCATTCACATAGTATCAGATAGCGAAGCAGAATGCTAGAATGCTAATGACTAGCCCAATCAATGTTTGAACGCAGACCAAACATACATCGTATCCATCACCAGGTGTGAAGGAGCCTGGCGCTGTACATAGAAAGAAAGCGCCAGGTCCAGACATACACAGACGAAGAGGAGGGAATCAGACGAAAGGAGGGAGAGAGATGGGAATGTCATCAACACCAAGTCTTTGTCACAAGTCCCAAATAATCCCTCGTTGCAATGTCTGAAGTCCAAAAGTCAAGTTTGGATCCGATGTCACCAAGCTCTTTCTCTCTTCTCTCGTAGTCTGCAGATGCAGTGAAGTCAAATGATGAGAGGGTGAGAGGGAGATGGTGGACTGAGAAGAGGAAGAAGAAGAACTCTCTCTCTGTTACGAGCCAGATACTAACCTGTGATGTTGGCGCTGTGCTGCAGGTACCTCGAAGACGAAGCTGGAGCAACGGCGCTGCTAGTAGGTACCCAAGGCCTCTGCCCAATCTCTCTCTCTCTCTAGTGCTATCCTAGCTATGGCGCCCAACGTTGGAGACTACAGCTACCTACTGCGCCCATCGCTGAAGACTAAAGGCTAACGCTACTTCTACTCCTTGCAGCGCTCCCTCCAAAGTGTTGCGGCCGAATCCTGAAGACTACTGCCTCCTGCCTGCCCGTGAAGTGCATGGGAAGTCCCTATGTACTACCTCGGCCTGCCTCCTGACTGCCTGAAGGGCGAGCCAGGCCGAGGAGGCTCTGCTCTTGCCAATGCCGAAGTGTGCCAGGGGCTGGCGCTGCAGCATGTGCTGAGGCTGGCGTGGGAACAGGCTAAGAATAGCCTGTTCCCGAAACCCTGGTTCGGTGCCTGAGTTTCAGGGCCGGTCGTTCTGATGAACGGCCGAAAATGACCCTTCGTTTCAGGCTAAAAAGGCTATTGTCATTTTTAGTCTGAAACGACACAGGGACTGTCGACCCCTGTTTTCAGGCTTTCAGGCTGAACAGTCACGGGGCATGTAGGCCTTGGTTTTCAGGCTTTAAGCCTGAAGGACGCAGGGCCTGGAAAATGGCCCTCGTGTGCAGGCGCAGCATGTAACACTCCCCCCTCCTTATGAAATCAAGCCGGGGCGAGGGCGAAGCCGACGATCTGAAGGTGGAACCTGGACGCGGGCGAGGCGTGGAGCCGAAGAAACCGGCTTGCCTTGCGTCTTGCGTTTGTAACGTGCGAGAACATCTGGAGTTGTTGCTTGAAGTTCCGCACGGGTCAACCAACGGTCAGCTCGGTGTGTGCAGTATGCAAAATGCACTAAATACTCGGTTGGCCTGTTGCCGTAGCGTCGCTGGGAGATGATGTCGCCGACCTCCTGAAAACCGTCCATGGAAGGTGGGTCTTGCGAACGTCTCCCGGTAAAATCGTCATGTTCCGCTGGCGTGTAAAGAGCCAACTTGGAGCAATGAAAGACTGGGTAGACGGGCAAGTGGTCGGGCACCTGAATTGTGAAGGAAGGTCCCTCGGGTGCGTCCCCAGCGGGTGCTACGATCGGCCAAGGTCCCATCCATTTCGGGAGGAGCTTGCGAGAGATGTCTTGTTCAAGGCTGAATTCCGCTGCAGAAACCCAAACGAGGTCCCCTTTGCGGAATGGGCAAGGAAGACACTCGCGATTGGCCTGCTGGCTCATGCGTTGCTCCGTCTTAGCCATCTGATCGCGTGCCTTGACAAGAAGCTCTTGCATCCGACGCAACAAAAGAAGATGGTCGTCGCTCTCGGCCGTTCGTGGAGTAATAGTGTCCGACGATGAAGTGACCGGCGAGCCGTGCTCAAACTCAAAGGGCGACTTCCCGATAGCCGGGTGGATAGAGGAGTTGTAGGCCAACTAGACATCCGGCAGCCGCTCGACCCAGTCCTTCTGGTCGGGGCGGATGAGAGTGCGAAGGAGAACCTGTGCGGTCTGATGCGCCCTCTTCGTCTGGCCATCGGTCAGAGGGTGGCGAGCTGACCTGGGCTTTAGAGATGAGCCCCATCACTTGATGAGCGCCAACCAAAAATCGGACATGAACCGAGTGTCGCGGTCGCAGACAATTTCCTTGGGGTAACCCTTGGTTCGAATCCAACCGGCGTAGAGAACCTCGGCCAACTCCGGTGCCTTGGCATGATAGCGACAAGGCAAAAACATGGCGAACTTGGTGAGTCGGTCGACCACCGTGAGAATCCCATCCACTCCGGTCTTGCGCTTGGGGAACGGGCCGGTATGAGTCTAATCCGGACTTCGCCACGTTGTATGCGCAGCTATCTTCGGATCACCCGCCGGCCAGCCACTATCACATTGTCGATGGATACTTGTTCCTCCACTCGAGAGGCAAGGACTTATTGTGTGTCCCACGAGACCGTCGTCTTCGGACTCGCCTTCTCGGGGAGTACCATGACTCGCGACTCGCCGGCCATTTCAGAGTCAATCGCACTATTGCACGGCTTCGACAACGATTCTGATGGCCCGATCTCATTACCGATGTCACTTGGTATTGCGACTCTTGCCAAGTTTGCCGACGAAGCAAGCCCCGCAATCGCAATCCCTACGGCGAGTTGCGCCCGATGCCTATCCCACGGGAACCCGGCCTCTCCATTGCCATGGATGTCACCGGACCATTTCCCCGTGATCGCCTCGGGCACGACGGCATCCTCACAGTTGTGGACCGTTTGAGTAAGTATGCGCGTTTTCTCCCTTGCAAGTAATACTCCACGGCTCCCGAGCTGGCACGCCTCTTGCACACCGGTTGGATTTGCGGCCACGATGAACCGGAAGACATAGTCAGTGACCGCGACACTCACTTCATGTCGACATTTTGGACTGCTCTCATGCAGGAGTCCGGCACGAAGATGAAACCAAGGTTCGGCTCGGCATCCACAGACGGACGAGCAAACGGAGCGGGCACATCAAACCGCTCAAATGAAGCTTCGTACGCTCATCCGTCCGGACCAGAAAGATTGGGTTGACCGCCTCCCGACATCGAGTTCGCCTACAACACTTCGGTGCACCCGGCGATCGGCGTGACTCCATTCGAGTTGGACCACGGTGAATGGAAAGGCCGTATCTTCGCCGACCTTCTCCTCCCACGACCAGCCGACATCGACGCTGCTTGCTCTCCCGCTTCCGTCCGGAAGTACAGGGAATTGTTGGCGCAAGCCCGCGCCAATATGCAAAAGGCTCAAGTCCGCATGCAGCAGCAAGCCAACAGGCGTCGCGTGCCATATCCCATCCGTGCCAGTGATCTGGTTTGGGTCTCCGCGGAAGAGTTTGCACTGGAACAGGATGTTTCACGCAAACTGCTTCCCAAGTGGTTTGGACCATGGCCCGTAACATCAGCCGCGGGCGATGAGCCCGATGGCCCTTCATTTGTGATCAAAATCCCCCCGCATCTGATGGTCCATCCAGTCTTTCACGCCTCGAAGCTGGCAACATATACACCTGCTAAGAGTGACGACTTCCCGGGCTGACGATCGCAGGACCCTCCACCTATGGATGGTCATCAGGAAGTTGACCGCGTCATCACGGATCGCAAGTACGGCAGTAAGCCTCGACAGTACAAAGTTACATTCARAGCATGCGATCCTGGCGACACTCGGTGGATTTCAGGAACAGATTTGAAAGCATCCGCACCGCTGATCTATGCTCACTACGAGCGACAAAGGTTAGCTCAGGGACCTTCACGACCTGCCCCTCCCACCCRGACTGTGGTCCCTCCCTCAGACAGACAGCTTCGCCCTCGCAGGTAAGCTCGGTCTTTCAAGGAGGGGGGGGTGTGGCATACTGCGTAGCCACACGGGCCTGCAGGGCCCGTACCGCATTCTCAGCCTAAAAGCCTAGAAATAAGGGCTTACAGGCCCCATGTCGTTTCAACCTGAAAATTGAAAACGAGGGCCTGCAAGCCCTATTTCGTTTTCAGCCTAAAACAGGGTTTTTCAGCCCTGAGGCTTTTCAGCTTGAAACGGAGGGCCACTTTCAGGCCCTCATAAGATCGACCTACCCTAACACTCAGCCACAAAACCAGGGTTTCGGGAACAGGCTATTTCTGGTCCGTTCCCAGGACAGCCTCAAGCAGGACCTACAGCGGCAGCCCCTGACTCCCGTCGGCATTGGCAAGAGCAGCCTCCTGGACTGCCTCGCCCTGCAGTCAGGAGGCAGGCCGAGAAGTACATAGGGAGTTCCCATGCACTTCACGGGTAGGTAGTTGGACAGAGGCAGGAGTAGTCTTCAGGATTCGGYCGCAGYWCTCAGGAGGAGCGYTGCAGGAGTAGCTTAGCGCTAGCAGTAGTCTTCAGCGCTGGGCGCTAGTAGCCATAGCAGTAGTCTTCAGCGCTGGGCGCTAGTAGGTGGTAGTAGTAGTATTGGGGAGAGATGGCTGGCGGAGGCCAGTGAGACTTACCTGTGGCGCCATAGCTTTAGCTCCATCTTCAAGGTACCTGCATCAAGGCGCCAACTTCACAGGTTAGTACCGGACAGAGAGAGAGAGAGAGAAAGGGAGAGAGAGAGTTCTTCTTCTTCCTCTTCTAAGTCCACCATCTCTTCATCCCCTCTCACCACCTGACTTCTCAGTATCAGCGGACTACTACAGAGAGAGAGAGTTGTGACTCGAGACTTGACGACATTGGATCCAGACTCGACATTGGGATTCAGACATTTTGACGAGGGACTATTTGGGCTTGTGCTGAAGACTTGGTGTTGACGACATTCCCATCTTCCCCTCTTCTTCGTCTAATCCCCCTCTTCTTCGCCTGTGTATGGTTGGGGCTGGCGCATTCTTCCTGTGTGAGCGCTAGACCCCTTCACACCATGGGATGATGATGATGATGTATGTTCGGGGCTGCATTGCAATATTGATTGTTCGGATCATTGGTATCTACGTTTTCCGCTGCGCTATCTTGTACTTTGTGAGAGAGGTCGGTTCTTGTTCTGGTCTGCACCGTTACAGTATGCAACAGTAGTACTAGAGAGAGAGAGAGAGATTGGGCAGAGGCCGGGAGGACTTACGTGCAGCGCCAATGCTCCAGCTTCGTCTTCGAGGTACCTGCAGCACAACCCCATCTTCACAGGTTAGTATCTGGCACATGAGAGAGAGAGAGAGTTCTTCTTCTTCCTCTTCTAAGTCCACCATCTCCCTCTCACCCTCTCACTATCTGACTTCACTGCATCAGCAGACTACGAGAGAGAAAGAGAGAGCTTGGTGACATTTGATCCAGACGCGACATTGGACTTCAGACATTTGACGAGGGGTTATCTGGGACTTGTAATGAAGACTTGGTGTTGACGACTTTCCCATCTCCCCCCCCTCTTCTTCGTTTGTTTCCCTCCTCTTCACCTGTGCATGATCTGGACCTGGCGCCTTCTTCCTGTGTATAGCGCCAGGCTCCCTTCACACCTTGTGATGAGAATGATGCATGTTTGGTTTGCGTTGCAACATTGATTGGGCTAGTCATTGATATTCTAGCATTCTGCTACGATATCTTGTACTACGTGATAGAGGCCAGTCTCGGTCAGGTCAGGACTTGTATCTAAGTCTTCCCTGCGCTACAAAGCACCATTTTTGTATTTATCCGAATGTACACTGCTTAATGAGATTCTTCTTGCACTGCATTGTCCATTCAGTCCTTTTTATCACATTGTGGATCCTCGGTTTATATGTGCATTGCCCAACTGGGCATGTAACAGTTGGTATCGGAGCACCGCACGTGAATCAGGACAACCTGATCTGACACGTGTGTGGGGACTAGGTAGCTGATTAGTCTTGATTGATTGATTAGAGCACACTAGTTAGCCCCCAAAATCACGATTTTGACCTCACTGCCGAAAGTCAATTTTTTTTTCCTTTTCTCGGATTTTGTTTTTTCGCTATTTCTGTTGTGGAAAACCGCAATAGCACAACATCTGAAATTTCCGTTTTCGTTTTTCTTCTGAAAATTCGAAATTTCATTGTTGAAAACCCAAGAATATATTTTTTTCCAAAATTTTGATTTCCTTTTGTAATTTCCCGTTATTTAAAAGTTCGGAATATATGTTTTTCTGAAATTCGTTTTTTTTAAAAACGGTACGGGAAGTCCTTCTTGTAGTTATCATTCTTCAAACTGCGCGTACTCTCATCTGAGTGATTCCGAATATTTTGTTGCAGTTTATCTTCGGAATTCTTTATCAAAAAAATCATTTGCAGTATGAAAGTTCGATAATTTTTTTTCTCATTTGTAATTTCACACTTCAGGGGGATTTGAGAGCCCTACTGAACTTGCAAACGAGTATTTTTTTGAAATTTTTTCTTTTCTCAATTTTTTTTTGCAAAGTTCAAACTTTTCTTTTTGATTATTGGCTCCTTATCTGGGCGATTTTCCCCACCTACCCTCCCCACCTATGTTGTTGCGCCCTCTGGTCTTTCCTTCTCTATCTGTCTCCAGGTACCCCTTGCGGAGGCATTGGTGAGTTGCCATGTGAGCAGGCCACGTGAGCAGGCCGCATCAGCAGACTACGTTTGCAGGCCACGTCAGCAAACTACGTCAGCAGGCCACATCAGCACCAGGCAGTCCCACGTCAGCAGGCCCCCAGCCTGGTCTATGCTCACGCGCTCACAAACAGCCGGCATGGACCAGAAGTCCGGGGAAACGGATGAGGCCTATCAGGCCCGGATGCTGTTTCTGATTACCCGAAGCCAAGCAACGGTCGGATGTAGTAGCAGCCGCAGCAAAGAAGAAGGCAGAGGACGCCGAGAAGGCATGTCTGTTGGCAATTGAACAGCAGCGCCAGCTAGACGAGGCAGCAGCAAAGGCCGCCGATGAAGAACGACTTCAACGACGCGAGAAGATATTCAGCGGAGAGCGAGCTTTGCTCACAATGGCAGCAGACTAGCGGGCCAAGGCTGAGAATAGGAAATTGGAAGGGAGTGGAAACAAGATCGCTCTCCTCCTCTCCCATCTCACGGACCTCCTGGCCACGTGCATTGCACAGCAGGAGGACATTCACAACCTCGACGACGCAGTTCAGACGCACAATCAGGTGTTTGACCGACTCACCAGCCGCATCCAACAGCTGGAACAAACCGTCCCCGCCCCCGTTGCCAGCTCTTCCAACACCTCCGAATGCCTCAAGGCATTGGAGATGGACGTCGGATCCCTCAAGGACGACATGCAGGTACAGCAAACCGCAATGCAACAATTGGAGCAGCGGATCTGTACTGCCGCCACCCACTCGAGCTCGGGACCCCGCGAGACAACTCCAAAGTTCGATGATCAGGAGATCTTATGCGATTCGACGAAGACGGACCCGATTCCGTGGTTCTGCAAGTTCGAACTCAAGTTGCAGCTTCACTACGTCAGCGAGCACAAGCATCACACGTACTTATACTCCCGCTCGGAGGGCGCATGCCAAGCATGGTTGGACAATCTCTTGTCCAAGTACGGAGTGGTGGCTGCAGACTTGCACACCAAGATCAGCTGGGATGATCTAAAGGCGGCGTGGCATAAGCGGTTCCAAGTAGAGCCGCCGGAGATCAAGGCAATGGACAAGCTGATGGCCTTCGAACAAGGCATGCTGCCGAGTGTTGGCTGGATTGCTAAGTACCAACGCTTGACATCCGTCCCAGACATTCAAATGGTCTTCAAAGCCATCAAACACTACTTCATCTCGAGGTCGTGTCCGGCGTTGGGCAATGCCTTGACTCACGTCAAGGACACCCTGACGACACCGACGGAGCTCTTCCACAAGGCCGCACATATTATTGTCACGAACAAGGAGGCCAAGAACCTCCACCGTTCGTTTGTGACAAGCCTGAGTAGAGATCAGCATCGGTCGAAAGTGGTTGTGGTCGCAGCGGCAACGCCAATCGACCAAACTAGCGAGGCCGTGTCTACCAATGAACGGGACAGACTCACAGCCGCCCGGGAAGGTGGCCGCACAGGCAAAGGCCGAGGACGCGGCAAGACGAAGACAAACACCGCATCTAGTCTCGGGCCCAACGCAACAGCTTCAGCCCCATGGTCCCACTATGGTCGAAACGGAGTACAAGGCACGCACGAGATTCCGTTATTGCCTGTGGTGCAACAACGATCTCCACGAGACAATGCGCTGCCCGTCGAAAGGCAAAGGCAAATCGGGAAACTGAGCACCGCCGAGAGTAAGTCGACGACACTCTCGACGCTTTCGGAACTAGTCACTTCGTGGGTGACCGCCCTTCGTTCCGAGGCACATGCGGAAGTCGATCGTCCTCTGCTTTATGCTTTTGAGGATTATGCTGCCCGGCTCGTTCCTACGCTGGGTACTCATGCTCAAGGACACGACGTGTGTGCGGCATCTTCTCCGTCTGGCAGCCGCAACTTAACGTCTTCAAGTGGTTCTTCACGGGATTCAGCGCGCGGGTTCAACATAAAGGTATTGGACCCGCTCACGTCCGAGGATTTCGCATGGCTTCCTCTCCCGACCAGGGGCCGCTTGCCCGCAATGCGCAACATTATGCGCTCATCTTCACGTGTACTTATCCTTCTATGCACCACCAACTTCGCCGACGGATGACGAAGTCGCGGTGGGAGACATCCTTGCGTATGTTACCAACGTGGCCCGCAAGTTTCGTAATCAGCGGTACAACGACAACAACGCACCGCTCCTCTATGTCCGCATCCAAGTTGGCCAAGCGTCCTGCAGCGCTTTGCTGGATAGCGGCGCATCTCGCAATTTTATAAGCCAAGTCGGTAATCAAGTTGGCGGACAAGTTCGGATGAAGGCAAACCCGAGGGTGATCAAGTTGGCGGACAAGTTCGGATGAAGGCAAACCTGACTGTGATCAAGTTGGCGGACGGAAGGACGCAACAACTTATCGACCGCTATATCGAGGCCGTACCGGTGTATTTCACACCTCATGCACGCAAACCGGTGATGTTCGACATCTTTGACACGGACTTCGACATTATTTTGGGAATGTCTTGGCTTGCAAGTGCGGATCACACGCTCAACTTCCACCGGCGGACTCTTACCGTTCGCGACGCTTTCTGCGTCGAAGCACCGTGTACTATTCCTCTTCCGCACCCTTCGATTCCATGACAAGTGGTGACGGCCAAGTCATTCCGGGCTACTTGTGCATACGAGCAGCTCGACAAAATCGGCCTCAGCTTCCTACGAACCGTCGCGGTAGCCGACTCTTCACTCACGGACTTGTCTTCGGACCCCCGTGTGGTGCGGTTGCTTGATGAGTTCGCCGACATCTTCGAGTCACCTACCGGTGTGGTGCCGGATCGGCCAATCTCTCACGACATCATTCTTGAGGCCGGTGTCGTGTCGTCGAAAGGTTGCATTTATCGCATGAGCGAGGAGGAGCTTACTGTCCTCCGCGCGCAACTCGATGATTTGTTGGACAAGGGCAGGATCCGCCCTAGTAGCTCTCCATACGGAGCCCCAATTCTGTTCATACGGAAGAAGAACAAGGATTTACGATTCTGCATCGACTACTGCAAGCTCAACGCGCAAACCGTCAAGATTGTGGGGCCTCTTCCTCGCATCAACGATCTTCTTGAGCGATTGGGCGGCGCAGAGTATTTTTCTAAGTTGGATTTGAAGTCGGGATATCATCAAATCTCAATCCGACCGAACGATCGCTACAAATCCGCGTTCAAGACGCGATATGGGCATTTTGAGTGGGTGGTCATGCCTTTTGGCCTCACCAACGCCCCGACAACCTTTCAAGCGGCAATAACCAACGAATTCCGTGCAATGTTGGACCTGTTCATGCAAGTCTACTTAGACGATATTCTCGTCTATAGCCGGACATTGGAGGATCATCTTGGGCATCTTCGACGAGTGTTGGAGACGCTCTGCTGCGCCAAGTACAAGGCCAACCGCGACAAGTGCGAATTTGACCGGCAAGAGCTGGAATACTTGGTCTATTTTGTCACACCAGAGAGCATCAGTCCGTTGTCGGACAAGATTCAAGCCATCCAAGAGTGGCCGGAGCCGCGGAACGTCACGGATGTCCGTTCGTTCCTTAGCCTTGCCGGCTACTACCAACATTTTATCAAGGAATACTCGAAGACTGCAGCCCACTTGTCCAAGCTTCAATGCGAGGATCGACCGTTTGACTTCGGGGAGGATGCGCAGGAATCATTTTTGGCTCTCAAAGCCACATTATTATCTGCGGAGGTCTTGTGCATATACGACCCGCAAACGAGGTCTTGTGCATATACGACCCGTTATTGCCAACGCGCGTCACTGCGGGACATCTTCATTCGCGGCTATCAAGCCGACCCCGAGTTTCGCGACAAGTAGGCGAATTGGTCCTCTCCTAATACGGTGCCTTCTCACTACCGGATCCACGAGGGGTACTTGCTTGTCCACACACGAGGGAAGGACCTTCTTTGCGTACCGAGTGACCCTCACTTGTGTACACGGCTTCTAGGTGAGTTTCACGATGCTCCCGCCACCGGACATTGGAACCAATCACACGATTGGCCGACTTCGCGAGCGATTTTGGTGGCCTGGCCTTCTCGGCGACGTCACACGCTATTGCGAGTCATGCGAGGTTTGTCGACGCTGCAAATCCCGCAATCATCGTCCGTACGACGAGTTGCGACCATTATCGGTCCCCTTGCGGCGAAGGGAAACGATTGCCATGGATATTACCGGTCCGTTCCCCAAGCACAACTGGTCCATCCACCCGGCTATCGGAATGTCACCCTTCGAGTTCGAGCATGGCTCGCCATCACTTCTCCGTTGGACACAATCATTCCACGAACGGCCGAAAGCGACGACCATCTTCTTTTCTTGCGCCGGATGCAAGAGCTCCTTGTCAAGGCACGCGACCAAATGGCCACGACGCAGCAATGCATGAGCCAACAGGCCAATTGCCAGCGTCTTCCTTGCCCATTCCGCATCGGCGACCTCGTTTGGGTCTCTGTCGCGGAATTCAGCCTTGAACAAGATATCTCTCGCACGCTCCTCCCGAAATGGATGGGGCCTTGGCCGATCGTGGCACCCGTCGGGGATGTACCCGAGGGACCTTCCTTCACCATTCAGGTGCCAGCCCACTTGCCCGTCTACCCGGTCTTCCATTGCTCCAAGTTGGCTCTTTACACGGAACATGACGATTTTCCCGGGTGACGATCGCAAGACCCACCCTCTATGGACGGTTTCAAGCGGTCGGCGACATCATCTCCCAGCGATGCTACGGCAACAGGCCAACCGAGTACTTGGTACAATTTGCGTACGGCAGTCACAAAGCTGACCGTTGGTTAACCCGTGCGGAACTCCAAGTCACAGCTCTGGATGTTCTCACACGCTACGAACGGAAGATGCAAGACAAGCTGGTATCTTCGGCTCCACGTCGCACCCGCATCCACGTTCCACCTTCAGATCGTCAGCTTCGCCCTCGCCCCGGCTTGACTTCATAAGGAGGGGGGGGTGTTACATGCTGCGCCTGCAACAGGCTGCACAGGCCACTTTTCAGGCCCGTGACATTTTCAGGCTAAAAGCCTGAAAACAAGGGCCTACAGGCCCCGTGTCGTTTCAGCCTGAAAGCCTGAAAACAAGGGCCTTCAGGCCCTGTGTCGTTTCAGGCTAAATCAGGGCCTTTCCGGCCCTGAGCGTTTTCAGCCTGAAACTAAGGGCCATTTTCAGGCCCTCATAAGACCAACCTGCCCTGAAATAGCCACCAGACCAGGGTTTTAGCTCAGGCCATTTTTGGCCTATTTTCAAGACAACCTTTGTTTGAGCTTCAACCCCAGGGTCTGGCACATTGTGGCATTGGCAAGAGCAGCATCCTGGACGGGCCAGCACTATATAGGACTGGCCCGCCCTGCTGGCCGGCAGGTAGTTCCTAGGTACTTCCCAGGCACTTCACGTGCAGTTCAGGAGGCAGGAGGTAGTCTTCAGGATTCGGCAGCAGCACTCTGGAGGAGCGCTGTAGGCGTAGTAGTAGCGCTAGCAGTAGTCTTCAGCGCTGGGCGCCATAGGAGCTAGTACTAGAGAGAGAGAGATTGGGCGGAGGCCCAGAGGACTTACCTCCCCCCGCCATCGCTCCAGCTTCGTCTTCGAGGTACCTGCGGCACAGCGCCGTCTTCACAGGTTAGTACCTGGCATATGAGAGAGAGAGAGTTCTTCTTCTTCCTCTTCTCAGTCCACCATCTCCCCCTCACCCTCTCACTATCTGACTTCACTGCATCAGCAGACTACGAGAGAGAAAGAGAGAGCTTGGTGACATTTGATCCAGACGCGACATTGCACTTCAGACATTTGACGAAAGGTTATCTGGGACTTGTAACGAAGACTTGGTGTTGATGACTTTCCCATCCCCTGCCCTCTTCTTCGTCTGTGCATGATCTGGACCTGGCGCCTTCTTCCTGTGTATAGCACCTGGCTCCCTTCACACCTTGTGATGAGAATGATGCATGTTTGGTTTGCGTTGCAACATTGGTTGGGCTAGTCATTGATATTCTAGCATTCTGCTACGATATCTTGTACTACGTGATAGAGGCCAGTCTCGGTCAGGTCAGGACTTGTATCTAAGTC